GTAGAAATTCTTCAATTATAGTTTACTCATAGAGTTTATTTCATGTAATCATTAAAGAAAAAAAAACAAAAACAAAAGTGTATACAACTTCAAGGAACTAGTTCTATTGAGTCGGGTTTTAAATAGACTGAATTAAGTTAGTTAATGGTATTGAATGTTATTAGACTTTATACAACGTGTGGATCTTTGAAAGGATTGAGTAATAAATAGTCATCCTTGGTAACATAGTTCATGTATACTAAACAAGAATGAAATTACACTATGGTTACCATTGTATGTACTTAGGTTATTTATTAAACTAATTAATCAGTAGGAACTAATAATTAAGAACCAACATATAAGATGGTACATAATAGCATGGTTTGACGTGTTGCACTTGAAAAATAAATAGTTTCATTTTGATGTTTATATATGTAAAGATAAACAAAATAAGAGAAAAGATGGATTGTGTCTAGCAGTGAAATTCAGGACGTACAATTCATCGTATTTGGGAATTATTATCTGAATGTATCTAAATCCAAGTACTGATGTACCCAGAAGAAATAAATGTGCAAAAGCTGGAAAGCATCCAATGAATGAATAATAAGCTATTTATTATCAAGACATAAAATTTTTGTGAAATGTTTCATTATATCTATTTCAAATAGAAACTATTATTCAGATAACAATTACACTAACTAAATTAATGAAGATTTGTTCAGTCTCCTTGAAGTATAATTGAGGACCAAAAATAAAAGATTTATAACTAAAATAAATGTTGTCATCATTATCTGGCCATATTTCTGATGTAGCTTACTCAGCCGATCAGTAACGATCACCGAATCCCCACTTTACTGGTGTCTACTTGATGATTTTGTTGTGTAATAACGTAACATCAATCGTTGTTTCTCCAGCATTCTTTAACAAAAGATTTTTCACCTCCAGATAGTAAAAATATCATACAACAAATCTACTGTTATACTAACAACGATATCCTTGAGAGCATACAGCGAAATAGGAACCTAAAAGAGGAAGCACACAAGCAGAGAGTAGCAGAGATTATATTTTTATTATGAAGTGTAGGTTTTCTTTGACCTGCATATTCGTCAGAACTACAAATTAATGGTAAGTTGAGAGGTTTCTAGCAGTTTCAATATACATTACCCTTAGTTTCAGTGATAAAACTGATTGAAGTCCGTGTTCGATTAAATTTAATTTTAACTACGAAGACTGCATCAAAATGTAATAAATATCGCTAATCAGACCATTCAGAAATGTATTTTGTGTGTAACTCAAGGTTTTGAACAAACACATTGAAAGCTAAGACGAAAAGTATGGACGGAAACACTATTTTTCCTAAGCACTGAAATATATATAGTAACCTAATAGATAATTTTAACGAACTATTTGAAATATATTTAATCCGAGAATGATTTTAATCACAAACTGACATCAACTTCAAGAATATAAAAAGGTAGGATGCACTGAACAACATCCTCTTTTAGTTTGAGACCTTTTAAAAGTATGCTCTTTTGCATACTTACATGATATTAAACATAAATATGATCTTTAATCCTCACAGGAAACGAGATTTTTCAACCAATGAATCTGAATCCAGTTGTTCACACTTCCAGTTTCATTCATAGTTGACCGTTGTCCGATAGGGTAATACTGTGGTATGTGCTACTGATGTCGACAAATATAAGTAGTATGCATCATCAATCAAAAGTAGGTAGAAGGTTAAGAAGATCGAAGAGAGAACGAGAACAAAGAATTATTGGTGTGGGGACGAAAGAACAGTGAAGTCTGAGACGACTGATTAACATTTCTCAAATGAAGTATTTATTATATGGTTCTTAGATTTTATTAAGCGATTCTGTAATTTTGTGTTAAATCACTTTCGATTGTCTCTACTTATCTTCTAGTTCACTACATTACTAATAACCGTCTTACTTAATTTATACTTAGTTGACAACATAAGTTATGGCTGACTATCGGAAACTCAGGGAATTCATTCCTAAACCAATCATTAATAAATATGAGATAATTTTTCATTGTGTTGTTGACCATACATGAATTTTATGACACAAGATATTTGAATACTGGATATTTGGAATAAATAGTATTTTAAGTTAAATGCTTTAATCTAGATAGTTTTATTGAATAGTTTATTCTTGTATAAATAACGACTTTCCCTTTGAAGGGTGAAAACAACACATTAAAAAGGATGAATGTCCCATTCTTTTTTACGAATTAATTAGGAAACGAAAGCTATTGTTCCATGTTGTATAGATGACTGTTGGAAAGTCACAACATTTATGTTTAGCAAGATTTTACGTTATTCTTTGATTTCAGTTAAAGGTATACCTATATTAAAATTACAAAATCACATTATGAATAGATTTTACTTCAGAGAATATGATTAAAATGGTGCTGAAATGTTGTTTCTAAAGACGATGAACATGATCACTAAGAATATGTTCTGATATATAACAATTAATATTACGATATCCTTTGAAGTTTTGTAGCCTTTAAGTTGCGATTGATTATTGAAATTTTTACTGTGCTAAACAATATATGCATTAAGAGTCAGCGAAATCCTGTTAACCAGAAAATCAATGAAAAAAACCATCACTCAAAAATGACCATTTTAAGTAGTGACAGATTATTGATTATGCGAAATCTGGCTATAATATATTAGCTTTCTTTTATGCACTACATATTACTTGAATTAATGATGTGTTTCAAATAGGTAAGTGACTCAAATGTTTCAGCTAAGTTCTGAAAGTCCTTAGTGATGAAAAACTTGATAAGCCCTAAAGAGTACAGATTTACAATGACGCGAAAGGGTTAATAATATTCATGAAACCAGTGTGCATTTTGAGGATATTCGTGGTCACGTACAAACACGTCTAAAAATACCCAAAAATTTATCTTAGGTTTGGAAGATATATTCAAGCCATAGAGAAGTTTAGTCATAATCACTGCTGTTTCCTCAGCTTTTCGGAAACCATTCCACGCCGCCTCGGGGTGGGCATCACTTAAATGGCTGCCTTACTGTTTTTCCAATTGTTCCTGAAATACATTCTAAGCTTGACTATCATTAAGTAGCACCCTAAGAGGTTTCCTTGTAGCATCTTTTCTACGTCCAGTGAGACGTAAATAAATACGCACTCGCACTAGAGCATGATGTGAATTTAAGCATGTGCTCCAGAATGAGGGACAATCTTCCATCAAGCCCCACCATCGGTGAAGAAGCCGACAAAATGCATTCTTCTGGCCACTATAATCAACAATGCAAGCATGTTCGGCATGCGATTCTCCCTCTCGAAATGCAAAATATTGTTTCAGCATTGGGTGGCATCGACACCCGAACTAATGACTAGGAGTGAAGTAGTTGAGCGTGTCGACAGCCTCACTTATCTTGGGAGTCTCATCAGCCCTTGTGGTCTGGTGTGTGACGAAATCTCAGCACTGGTACAGAAGGCTCGACTAGCTTTTGCTAACTTGCGTCATTTATGGCGTAGGCGAGATATCCGTCTATCAACCAAAGGACGTGTTTACTGCGCAGCAGTTCGTTCTGTCCAACTTTATGGCAGTGAAACATGGCCGGTAAGAGTAGAGGATATTCGTAGGTTACTAGTATTTGATCATAGGTGTCTTCGAAATATTGCTCGTATATCCTGAGACCATCGAGTAAGTAACGCAGTTGTTAGGAAACGGGTACTAGGTAAGGATGGCAAATCAATTGATGAAGTAGTGAAACTTCATCAGTTGAGATGGCTGGGACACGTGTTACGTATGTTAAACTACCGACTGCCTCGACGTGCTATGTTTTACGGTGTAGGTTGGAAGAAAGTTAGGAGCGGCCAGACCAAAACATGGCACAAGTATATGAAGTCACTGACAAGTGGATTGAGTCATGTTGGTAGGTGTAGACTACCTGGTTGGGGACCGCGAGATGATAGCAACTGATGGTTAGTGACCCTGAATGACATGGCTCGTTTGCAATGGCGCAGGTGCATCCACTCTTTGTGTTCTCCAAATTCTAATCTTTTGAATTCCTCCTGTCCCCTTTTTTCCCTTTCCAAATTTATTTCACTGGATTATACTCTTTAAATAACATCGTCAAACCCTAATCTTTCCGATTACTGTTTATACTCTTACTACCTCTACCACTACGGAGTCGACAACTGCATCTCTGTGCTAATGTGGTATGGCAACTCGAACTGATGTACGTACTTACGATGTTCTACGTTGTTACTGGCTGATTGAATGGCTTACTGACTTATAATTTATAACCTCCCCTCTCCTAAACTATCTACTGATCAAAAGTATCATATTCACTGTTGTTCCCAAGATATATTTATACAGTATTCAATTCGGAAAGACTTTTTCTTATTGATTACTGTTATTACCAACCAATTAAAAAATAATGAAATTATATAAAATTTGGACTTTTAAAATGAAACAGTAATAATTCATGTAAGGGAAATAAACATATAAAAATATCCTAAATAATGATTGGATGATTTCAATATTAATATACTTTGAAACTTTTACTCAAATATGTTACCTTATTGATGTGAACACGTAAACACATTAGAAAATATTATGTGGTCATAATAGTTTCTATTCGTTAATCATTCTCTTATCAGTCAAAATAAAGAGGATGTCAATTTCATTAATGTACCACCCCCTTTCATAAGCATTATATATATATATAACAACAACATTAAGTATATTACTGTTTTGATAATTATTGTTAATTTTACTTATTTAGAATAAAAAATAATTTATGTTTGCTGATAAGTAACAAAAGGATAGTACAGCAAAATACAATCTCGTAGAAACACATTTTCAAAAGACTAAATCTTAATTTTAACAAAAAACAATTGATAATAATAACTATGAGACAAAAGTGTCTACGAAATTCTAATCGTTATTTCCATTTTCAATGGATCTGTTCAATAATGATTATAATTATAACTGTAATTATAATACCTAAGAAAACATTTTCAATGACTATACAACATAGTCAAAAACCAAATGATTTCTATGGTGTTATTAATAATGATGATAATGATGCTGATGATTCAACTCTTAGCAGTAATAATAATTATCAAAGATATTTGAGTGAACAATCATTCAATCCATATCAACATGAACTAATCAAATATCCTAATAGTATTACATATAAACGTGGTCCAGCTCCCTTAGCAACATCATTTAGAAATTCACCATCATTTTCATTTAATGGTGATATGCGTTCAATTTCTAATTTAAGACATATGATGTCTGGTGCTAATCCATTAACAGCATTTGGGTAATTTGATTTAATTAATGTTCATTTAAATGAGAAATGGAAAACAGAATTTTTTTAAAAAAAAGAAAAAAAACATCTTGTTAAATTAACATCAATTTTGTTATTCATAAGAGAAAAAAACAGATTGGTAATCAATAAAATATCCCTCCTAGTAACTGTTTGTTATAAAGGATACTTTGAAAAAAAATACAGAAAATAAATGAAATAATAAATTAATGAATAGATAGTTTCTTTTTTTTGTGTTGCTTTAATCATAATTTGAGTAGAAATGAAAGTATAGTAGTGAAGCAAAGGGTAATAAGGAAAAAGTTTGGAATTAATTTAGGAATTATACTTTTGGATGTACTTTTAATGTTAATTTGTAAGTAACATTACCAGGGTTTAAGTTGATAATTTTGAATAAATTGAGCATTGGATAGATTGTTATAAATAATAAATTATATATTTGTTGTAATAATTCATTAATTAGAGAAATTACATTTTCTGACGTTTCATGATTCAGTGTAAGCCATTTGTTATTCTTTGAAGAAATGTCTTACACTAAGTCACGAAACGTCAGGAAATTTGATTTTTCTACTCATTTGGATATTACAAATATCTTAATTTATTTGTAATGCTAATTGTTTAAATGAGTAAAAAAAACCGAAACAAACAAGTGATAATTAACAAAAACAACATTCCAAATAAATGATAGGATACTATGATTACTCTAAACAAAGATGAATAGCGGCATAGCAGTGATTACTGTTTCGTGTATATATATATTTTTTAAATTTTCTTTCAAAATAATATTCCTATGCATTATGTTAAGCAATTCTAATAGTTTTCTATCATTTAAATTGTTTTTCTCAAGTCAAAGAAATATATTAGAAAGTTCCAGGAAATAAATTTTTTTTTACAATGAACATATGAGAATCACTGAATATCTTATTTTATGAAACTATTCTAGTTGTAAGGTAGTCAAGACAGCTTTTATTGCAAATGTACATCAGTTGAATAACTTTCTGAAACTAAAAAGTGATAAAAAGCTGTTTCCTGTTAGTTATAGAAAAATTTAGTTTTCTCATCTTTAAGCTCAATAAAGGATAATCTAAAGCATTTATTAACTCATAGTAAGCAATAATAGCTTTACAGTTCTGTATGTGAATATATGATAGTTTACATTTGCAACTTGATAAGTTTGCAAAATATACCGTGATCATTATCTAACATCATCATTTGTAGTTGATTCATTGACGACATAATAAACACTAAATTTCAATTTTAGGAATTCATCTAGAAGCTAATCGGCTGAAAGTTCATGATTATTCTCTAGATTGCTAGTATATTAATACTTATTTTCATGAATGGATCAATGTTAGACCACCATTAAAAACTTGAAAGCACTGGATGGCCATTTCGTTGTATCCCGGTTCAGTGGTCTAGAGGTTAAGCATTCGCACACGAGACTGAAGGTCATGGGTTCGAGTCCCGTGTGCGGAATAGTGGATGCGCACTGCAGAGGAGTCCTATACTAGGACGAAGTAGCCGTCCAGTGCTTCCAGGTTTACAATGGTGGTCTAAAATTGATCGATTCATGATCTCAATTAAAACTCATTCATTTCTATAACCATATACTGATACTTATTTTCAAGTTAATATCAGTTTGTGATCAACGAATTAGCCTACCCCCAAACTTATTTATCTAAATAATACTCAATAAACAAAAACAAAAACAGTAGAACTATTCAAAATGAATCGGATATAAATGAAACAAAAATGGAAAGTTTTCTCAAGATAAATACAGTATATCAATAAAAGTATGATACATTTAGAACTTTAGTTAATTCACTTTTAGTGACAATTAACCGATATATGTCTATAATAATAAATAAGAATTCATCAGGTTTCATTGATTTCCTCTAATAATGATTTCATTCCATTACATATCACTACTTCATTGGAATCAATATATTTCTATATTTTTCTTTACTGTTACACATAAATTAAAATAATACGTTAATAATAGTAGGTGTCGTTGTTATTGTACATGTTGATGTGACATTTGTTAATTCATTAGCTTTAATACACACCACAAATACATATATGTTAATGGTTATATTTAATATATAACATTTACAATATACAATCATAACGTGTATTGATCATTGAATTCATTAAAAGGTAGAGAATATATATACATATATGTATTTGAAATGATGATGGATATTCGCAGCTCAGGTAGGATTTAGAACAACATATATAAGCGAACAATGTTGTCTTCGATTAGATCCTCATCAGGCTTTACTCTAATTTTATAAATGTTATCTCATTGTCTATATTTTTTTCTAATCATTGACCTATTTCCGATTATGTTACATCGATTTAAGCCTTTATTATTCTTATCAAAACTAGTACACCTGTCATCATACTATCAATTTGTACTTTTCACTTATTATGTAATCTTTCTTCGTTGTTATCACTGACTCATAAACTAGTGAGAAGCCGTTACCAGTGGAGTTCAACCGGTCTGTTGTGAGATAACAACTCACTGAAGACAATGGTGTACGGTGGCGCAACTTCGTGGATTGGTTGAAGTTAGACATTAACACCGTTGGATGCCGACTCAGTGGTCTAGTGGTTAAGTGCTCGCGCGCGAAGCCAGTAGGTCCTGGGTTCGAGCCCCGCGTGGTGCGGGATCGTGGATGCGCACTGCTGAGGAGTCCCATACCAGGACGAAACGGCCGTCCAGTGCTTCCAGGTTTCCAATGGTGGTCTAGCTTCAACTGACTCATGATTTCAACCTGTGAAACTACCTTGATTGGTTTATTAATTTCATATATGCATATAAATATTACTGTATATTAGAGTAAAGCCTGATCAGATAGGATTTGTCAAATTAAAGGAAGAAAGTGTATAACTTGGAAAAAATACTTTCGGTTTGTCGTACTATACGATACAAAATTATAAATAAATTAATTTTTTTCAATTCACTTGGTATCTTCCCATGGTTGTTAAAGATTGCAATTAATCAGTCTGTTATTAACATATGTGCATCCTGTAGCGATTGCCTCGATATTGTCTAAATTCACAAGCAGTATAAGCAAAGATATATGGTGTCTAGCAATGGAATCCAGGACGCACGTTTCATCCTATGTGAGACTGGTCAGCTGGATGTACTTGCATCCCAGAGTTGATACTCACTCCGGGACTTGAACCCAGTACCGTTCGCTTCAAACGACATCGTGTTACACATTTAGCTGATCAACTGCAGTCCTAAACAGCAATGGGAAGATTCAAACAAGCAATACCAAATTAATTTAAACTTCACCCCATTGCACAAGCAAGTGGTTATCAGGACTCGGTAGATAAGTGGATAACGCGATGGCGTTTGGAATGAACGGTAGTGGGTTCAAGTCCCGGATTGAAAGTATATCCAGCTGACGAGTGCCAAATAAGATGAAACGCACATCCTGGATTCCACTGCTAGCCACCGTCCATTTTTTGCTGAACTTTTTTGCCCAACTTGAAACTTTCCTGAAAAATATATTATCAAATGATATAATATATACAGAAATAATTTCTTTCCTAGTTTCGTATAGTTTTATCAATGTGGATAATTATTTTATCAAAGAAATAAATATAAACTGAAAAAAGAATTACAACTTTAATCGTTTAACTTTTTTTAGGTCAACTAATGAAGAGAACAGAATATTTTAATTCTGACAACTAGATATGCATAATTAACTATCCAATAAGTTAGTATGATTTTTGACAATGATGGGAAAGATTTACAGCTCAGAAAGAGGATTTTATAGGTGATCTTTTCTCTAAACAAACAACTAAGGTTTTGCAGTAATGCTAATCAACACACAGAAACACACAAGAAATACATAACTATCTTTAACAATATATTCGGATAAATAATTCAGTAAAATTAGAGGGTGATAACAAAATGGGGAGAATTTAATAGATTTACATGTTGATATATTATAACATTAACTAAGACAGATATAGTAGTGCACAAATGTTCAATCTTCAGACAGGTAGATAGGCATAATGTGAAAGAACTATAGAAATATTTGGAGAATTTCACTTGGGAAATATTCAGTCTTCATGTATACCCTTCTTCTAATTTCAAAAAATATACAGGTGAATAACAGGGAGCATTAAATTGACACCATACTTTGACAAAGTGGTTTCTGATAGAAATCACGTGAATAATCATAAAAAGTTATTCACCTGTGAAAGTGTTAACACAGGTAAAAGAATCTTACGAATCGCCTTTTGTTAGATTGATGACCTTAGGTTTTCAGTGATTCATTTATAAATTACAATAAGAATTCTTTTTGTAATGGTTTTTTTTGTTAATGGTAAGGTCTGTAATTGATCAGTTTACTTTGGCATATGTGCACCCTAAGAGGATTGTCTCAATATTCCCATTTAGTCAAAAAAAATTTTAGTATAGGGGTTGTGGAGATTATTAAGTTTTTTTATTGAGATCATAAACTTAATAATCTCCACAACCCGTATACTAGTAATCAACATGTGCTCACTAGTGACTAGCTTCGTGAGGGAATTCTCGGAGTTCTAGTGAGAAGCCGTGATCAGTGGAGCTAATCCTTGTCGGGTAGAGACAGGTATCTACCTCAGTACAATGGAACTTGGTCGCGCAATTTCGTGGATTGGTTGATGTTAGACACTATAACCATTGGATGCCGGCTCAGAGGTCCAGTAGGTTAAGCGTCTGCGCGCGAGACCGAAGGCCCTGGGTCCGAATCCGGCGAGCGGGATCGTGGATGCGCACTGCTGAGGAGTCCCACAATAGGACGAAACGGCCGTCCAGTGCTTCCAGGTTTGCAAAGGTGGTCTAACACTAATCGGCTCATGATCTCAATCAAAAATTTTTTATTAAAGTTGAATATTGGCTATCAATTGTATTTAAATAAAAGCCTTTACCATCAAAATTCACACCGGTTGCAGAAGCTGATAGCTAACTGAATTCAGTACTTCAGTGGATAAAACACTGACGTTAGAAACAATAGTTATGGTATTTGTTGGGATAGTCGGAAAAAAGAGACCAATAATTACCATGTTAAGTTCAATGGTGTCCTTGAACCTTAAATGTACATTTCTTATTGTCGATGTTTATTTCACTTGTTAAATATTGTACAAATGTTGTTTCCTATTTTATGGTACGATGTGGGTTGTTTGCTTGGTATATAAATAGAGTATGTTTGAAATATAATGATTCATAACTCAGAGGCTGTGACTTGCGTTCTTGACTCAACTGGCTAGGACAGACTGCGAAGCGGGACCAATCAGGGCACAAGGTCGTACGTCCGTGTTTTCCGTGTCTACTGTACTCCGATCGATAAATACGCTGCTTATCAAACCCTGCAGTCTCACACTCGCGTTACAACAGTATTCGAGTCTCAAAGTGAACAACAACATTGAAATATAGGTAATCCCAAGTTACGAGTATCGAATAAGATGAAATAAGCGTCCTGGATTCTCATACTTATCATAAACCAGTTTTAATAATATACTTTAAGCATTGCTGCAGAAACTATTTCATTCTAAAAACAATCATGATCAATTTAACAGATGAAGTATTAACAAAAATATGAATTATAAACTTTTCTATTTCATTATTTATTTATTTTAAGTATTGCTACTGAACGTTGAATTTTCAAACAAATATGTAACTAATTCACTTGATATTGTTTGGCTTGTATCTTCCCATTGAGGTTTAAGACTGAAATGGATCATTCTGTTATGGCATATGTGCATACTGTGCGTATGCCTCGATATTGCCTTAATTCACAAGCACTTCGTAGGCAATGATGGATAGTAGCTAGTAGTGCCAATAACAGACTGATCAACTGCAGTCTTAAACCTCAATGGGAAGATACAAGCCAAACAATACCAAGTGAATTTAAATTCACCCCATTGCACAAGTAAGTGGCTATCAGGACTCAGTAGATGAGTGGATAACGCGATGAAGTTTGAAGCGAATGGTACAGGGTTCGAGTCCCACAGTGAACATCAACTCAGATGCAGGTACATCCAGCCGACGAATCCCAAATAGGGCGAAACGCGCGTCCTGGATTCCACTGCTAGCCAATATCCATCATTGCTTACAAAATATGTGACTAAGATTAAATTGAATAATATCAGCATTTAAAATATGAATATAGAAAGTGACAGTTTATTCTTTCATAAATATCTACATAAACTAACTCTATAATCAAGATAATCTTTTCAAAAAAGATTACTTATAACAGATTCTATTGATACTACTATTTTTTGGCATTAGTTCAAGAGACATGTTTTTTACTCAGTTAAAAGTAGATCTAAACAAAGAAGTTATTTGTTTTATTATGTATAAGATACAATCAAAACTTTACATTTATATTTATATCTATTGGAAAATTAATATTTCAATGGAGATTTGATTGTCAAATTGGACAGAAACCATATTTCAATTGACGATTAATCTTAAATAACGTAAAACCTGGCAAAAATGGCCATAATTGACTTTAAAGGGAACAAATGAAATTACGAGTTGGAAAGTATGAAGTAATACTCAACTCAAGATAAAAAAAGACTCATCTACACTGATTTTGAGTCATATCAACAAAAGAATCTAACCATCGATACTGAATATTTAGTCGACTCAACAAGAAATACTAGATTTTCCAGTAAGTTCGGATTATCGATTAATGATATCAAACTGCTGTCACTGTCTAGGTTTGGTCGCTAATATTATTTAACTTCTAAGTTATCCGGAACAGCACATTGAGGTGGCTGTGCCTGAGTAGATATCTAAACCACTACAATCGATGAACGTTCACAAACTAATTGACTAATTAACCATGATTCTCATTTCATTTTTTTAAATTCAGCGGAATGGTGACAACTGCATACAGTTGTAACATGATAATCTAGATACATTTATTGCATTCGTGAAAATTGACATACGTATTTTATTTCATTATTGTTTTGGTCAAATTTGTACGATCAATTAATTATTCCATTGATGTATACTTTGAGATTAAATCAACTTTAATCCACTTTGTCCTTGTATTATTATGTATACTACAATGTTAATATCTCCCACGTGCAAGAAGACTGTTTCAGACATTACTTTGAAGCCAAATCCACTATAACAGCAACAGTGAAAAAAATAGGAGTGAAAACCCATGGAGAATAATAAAAAAAAATTGTTGTAGCTTTTTAAGAAAAACAAGTATGGTTACTTGTTATAACTGCAGAAAAACCCAGTTACCTGCTGTTACAGTGGAACAAGACTGGTGTTGCTTAATACAAGGAAGAACGTAAAGCTGAAGTCTTTAATATACTTTATCCATAAAATGAACAACAATTAGATATAAAATAGATGTAACGTGGCTAACAGTGATATCCAGGATGGGAATCATCAGTTAGATGTACCTGCACCTGATCAATTCAACATCATAATGGGTATGTCGAGGCAATCCACACTGAATTCCTATATACCAACCATGTATAATGAAATTTCAATCAGATATAACGACGAGATAATTTAAAACTCTTCAAATTGACTGACAGTTATATTACAAATATAATGAATTATACATAATTTACTTAATTAGTTCATATTAAAATCTGAATATTGTACATATACATATACATATATATATATATATATATATATATACCCAAAGATCATTGCCTAATAGTATTATATAATCGAAATATTAGCAATCCTGCTTATATACAATGTGAAATATGCTTGGGGTCATATTATAAATTCTAGGCGGCCCGTTTGAATATCTGGGCTACCTGTTCCTACCATCTGGATATTTCGACAAGTTATCTGTTTTCTTGTTTGTTTTAACACATCATTATGCCCATTAGTCGCATAACCTATTCAGGTGCGTTTGTGACAAGCTTACGACATTTCGCTGTATAAGTTACAAAAGAACCCAATCAGAGACATTATGGTTGTTGGCAATATGCATCGAAAATAACATACATTGATCAGATATCGAGCCTTCAACTACTAACATCTAACTGGCGACCACTCAATATTTATCTCTAGGATCAACCAAGAAATAAGGAAAGGAAACTTGTTGAAATACTTTGTGCTGAGAATTCTATATTGTGCCAAAAATATACTATTGAATAAAGCCAATAGTAAAAATAATAATAATAAATGATTCACACTCCTATGAATAATACTGAGTGAAAAATAAGCTACACTCGTCAAAGTAGGTCTCTTCACTGTAACACTGACTTTAAAGTTATGAAACTGATAGTCGAACTTGAGAAATTCATAGACGAATTCTACAAATACTGTTCACACATATATTTTATTACCTTTCTAATGACAAATCGGTACGTTAATGTATAATTGCCGAAAAGTAAAGGTATCAAAGTCAATTGAAGAGTTGTCCGATACAGTTTTAGTCCTTACAGTTGATTAATCACTGACTAATAATCTATCTGAATCAATTTTAAGTACATGTCAGTCCTACAGGAAGTCCGTCGTGGCCAAATAGCAAAGTGGTAATATATATGACTATGAAGCTGAGTGACACAGGATTGAATCTACCATGGGCCACGGATTACAGGTACACCTTAGTGACGAGTGCTAAATAGCATGAAACCTAAGTCCAGGGTTTCATATAGACTATTTCAAATCAACACTTTACACAATCTTAGTGTATATGACAAATATTTAACACTTTAAAAAAACTAACAGACTTTGTTTCTGTTTTGCCTACACAATTATTCCAGGAAATTTAGCACTAAAAGGAAGATTGTCGTTTCAAAAAAATACTAGAGAAAAATAATGTTTATTATCATACAGACATAAAAGATCTTCCTGAATGCAGTAATTGTAAAATAAGACAACTTCATTTTGACGAAACCTATACAACACACCCGTGTGTATGTGTGTGCCATTTACGTTTGATGAGATATATATTATATGAAATAAGAAAGAGAGATAACGACAAACACTTGTGACACAATGTTCCTCTTTATTTGTAAAGAATAGCAACGTGAAAGTTCGACCCAGTGTATAATCACACACACACACACACACACAAATACAGTATGTGTTGGTAATAGTAGTAGTAAAGAAAGAATGAACTTTACAATCTATAGACATTGATGTCTACAAAACAAAAAGAAAGCAAAAGTAGAACTAAAAATAAATTGAAAATAAAGATAGTGGAGGGACAAAGAAGGACAACGAAGGGCAGTGAAAAGAAAAGATAGTAGATAATTAATTTATCACACAACAGGAAAATCTGAAGAATAAATAAATATTCCAAAGTTTACCGACTTCATTCACTGCTCCAAATTACATATATATAAATAAATTACAGAAAAATTACACACAGAATAATAATTTTAAACCCTTCTATGTCTAATATAAAAAAAGAACAACAATAATAAGCCTGTTAAAAATGGTATTGCATAAAAATCCCAGTCCATAGTTGATATTAAATGTCCAGAAGGATGAGATGATATTGTTGGTGTTTCTGTCGAATCTGTTACACTATCTACCTCATGTTCATCTGTAAATGATCTACTACCAAACATACTTCCAAGATATTGAAACTAAAACAGAAGGAGAAAAACAACAATGATTTGTACGATAAAAAATTCCAATGATTTGTTTTTCTTTTAACAATTAAGATAAACAGAGTCAATAGATAATATAGCTAATGAGTTTATGAATAAGACTTTTCTCTTAAATGTGAATTTATGATTTGATCCTCAACAATTGTTGTATGATTGAAGTTTCTAACATGAGTGGATTGATTGGAGTAAATGTTTAAACTAGACGTTAAGATAATTATAATACATTAAGTTAAATTATATGATGTAATCAGTAAATTGTAAGTCTATTATTGATAAGATGATAATGGTCGCATTTGTTACTTCCGAACTTATTTGTTACACAGAAATATCTTAGCAAAAGTAATAAAGAATATTTGTAATTTAATTTCTGGTAACTTTTCTAATAACTTTATCACTTAAATATTATGCCATTTGAAAATAAACAGGGAAAATACAACGTTTAATAATGCTGAATTTCGGCATAACTATTAATCTGAAATATAATTACACAGTATGTATGAAAATATTTGCAAAATAATTGAGACAAATTGAATTAAGAATATGAAATAGTAACAAATTTATTTTGTTTCTTCTACTTAGCAAGATGCTTATTTTTTTAAAATACTTTATGGTTAGAACTTCACAATTAAAACTTGTTTACTCTAAAATATATGCAACATTAGAGTAACGTTGGACGGTTCGATCTCTGACGGACTACGAGTGGAAAATGTTGGTTCCTTAAAAATGGGACGAAACAAATATAAAGCGCACTCAGTATTATAATATTATCCTTAATAGATGTCTGTCCATGACGAATACCACCGCGTACTCAATAGATGTTGACCAATTTTAATGAATAATTATCGATTTTTGTAAATGCTTAGTTGACGAAAGCATAACAGTAAAAGCGACCTAAAATTATTGCTTAAGACATGCATTATTTGAGAGTGAAAACAATATACATTTCAAAAATTTAAAGTAATTTAAGTAACTTACGAAACTTGATTCACCGAAAAATTCCATAACGAAATAAAATGAAAGACGTATAAGAGCTAGGTATACAGCTACTCGTGCGTCGATCGATGCTTCAGCGGCCATGTCGTAAAACCTTTTGGCTAAGTAAAGATCCTGAAATAGATTAAAAAAGAATACCATTAAGGTTACTAATTATTATTAGTAACAGTAGGCTGAAAATCCGGCAACATAACCTGCTATTTCTAACGTTTTAGTAGGGAGTTGTAATGTGTCGAGTCAAGCACGCTCGTAAGTGCTTGGTGGTTTTTAACATTCAATTGTGGTTAAATTCTATTCGAAACGACTTGTATTTGTAAAACATGAATCTTTGGGTTGAGAATCGACGGTTCCTATGACATTCCAAGAATTCGAGGTCTCAGAGATATATTCCCCGTCGAGTTGTTGGTATCCATCCCTGATAAACCCCATAGACAAGAAAACATAGCTGTCTAGTGTGCTCCTGGTTTTTATTAATTTGCAGCTGACATCAATCGGTGATGAATGTGTTAAGTAAATCGATAGATTAAATGCGTGAGCACGAGTAACCAACACAAGAAGTAAAAATCAATAAAAATCGAAGTAATAAAACTTATCTTTAGCAGTATTTAGGTTGCAATTGTAGGGAGAGTCAACATTCAATTTTTATTAGGTTTGATTTAATTTATCAAACACAATGACACACTTTTTTGGCGAATCAATAAATATTTCTTCTTTAAATAAAACTATACATTTGTGTACTATAATCTAAACTAATATAATTGTGTGAAGGTTAATGATGGTAATAACTGACTGACCCGACCTTGGCAAAGGTTAGAAAGTGCGACATCGAAAAGATGGACTATCAATAATGAAACTTGATAATCACTTACAGGTTCGTTTGAAGGTAATATACCGACCAATCTCAAGAACAAAATTAGGTGTTTAAACTGTCCAGTTATAATCCCGTAAGAAACTTAACAGTCCTAAAACTTGAACAGAGTTTATCTGTGTACTTTCAATGTTAAATGACCTTAGTTAAATGTAATTAGTATTTAATGAACATTCAGTCATATTAACTGCATGAACACATCTTGTAATATAATATCACATCTAGGCCAAAAAGGGCTAAATTGAGTCAATTGGATTCACTTCCTTGTAACAATATCAACAAGAATAAACTAATAGCCAGATCAAAATAACAAACAAAAAATGATAACTTACTCGTTTCAACCCTAATCCTTGTTCATGCATATAACCTAAATTAAACATTGCTTGTGCATTATGATGTAGATCTGAAGCGATTCGATAATGTTGAATAGCTTTCTGGTAACTAACATCAGTACCAAGTCCATAATAATAGTAATCACCTAACTTCACACGAGAACTTGTGGAACCTATGTATAAAAGTACCAGTTAAATGAAAAAGGTAATATTTATTAATACTTGTTGGAATAATAAGAAGTAAGTAAATTTGACCCTAATTCACTGAGTAACAATTGAAAAGACAATATGAAAAATACATGAGTTAAAAAATAACTTTCAGACCACAGTATTTTAGATATATTTCACTCAAGTCTCCCAAAACCCAGTAAGATGATGGCGTTTGAAGACGGACTTCGACTTGAAAATAATTCAAATGGATTGATACTGGAGTAGGCATTTGTTTTAATAAATTGAGACAGAGTAGAAGACTTTAAAAGCCGAAAACAGAAACATGCAATTTCACAATGTGTTTTGCAACTAGAGTTCGATGCATATTAGAAATTAGTCGTCAAATACATTTATATCAAAGATGACTTTGATAAATATTCTGAAGATTGATAAATTCCTTTCTGTGATTTATGTGCATTTAATTAACTTTTTTTCATTTAATCGGTTTTATACATTTATACTAATGATAACATAACATCATCGTTAGTTTTTTCACTGCTTAACGAATACAGTAATACTATGCGGATTATATTTCCGTATGCATGAATAAAACTATATACATCACCAGTCGCTTTGATGACCTTTTACTGAGAGTTCAAAAGTAGCATCTTTGTAATTCTAAAATGAATTCCTATACGATAGATTTGTTTATAATCTAAAAATTTCCGAAAAATTTAAACCTCACACTATATTCAGTCAGTTAATCATCGAAAATTGGCTTTATTTATGAAATGACCACTTTTTCAACCACGCTTTCAGACATACATTTTACAATCAAACCAAAAATTATCATACTTTATACCACAGCCATACTAATCTTGGAGCGCCAGATCTGGTTGTAATAACTCTCAATGTCGATATAATCGCTTTACATAGGGGAACAGACAACTTTAATCTATGAGGTTCCGATAAAGTAAATATTTTCTGAGCAGTCCGTGATGTTCTCTATGAGTATTAGAAAACTAAGCCATGGGCACTGAAGAATGCATTATCTGAGGAAGAATAAAATCATATCAGTAAACGATTGTAGGAGTATCAATTAAATCTTTGTCTGGAATTACTCTGACCGAATACCCGTTCACCAGGAAAAATATGAGTACAAAAGTGAAAGTTATACTGATTTGAAAAAATAGACCGTAATTGGTAGAACTGGGGTTATTGAAGTATGATAAATTAAATAAGATAAAGTCTGAATATATCTGCAGGATGTTCCCATGTACTCACGACGACATTATCTTATTTGTGTCACTACATAGGCCAATTTTTAAATTGTTTCTTACTTTAAGGGCTAAATTCATCCCACAGTAAGAACCATCTGGAGAAGCAGTGAGAAATTTGGGACAAATTGGACAGCTGACTCGTCTTAGCAGTGCGCACTAGGGACCACATATGACACCGACGTCGAAATTTCCAGATATGGAGAGAGCGATATCGCTAAACTATTGAGGCGAAACTATAATTCAGTAGCAGTAGTACTTGTGCAAACAATAATATCCTAGAACTATGACTAGGAGTCAAAATAAAAAAGAAAATTTGTTTCTTGCCTAAATCTATCCTTTTTTTCAATATGTCATAAGATGACTGGTGATTTTAGACTATTCATCTTAAATCACTGCAGACGAATATTTTCGACTGATGTGGAATAGGGGATATATACCATACAGCCTTGATGTAGTAGTAATCAGTTTATTTCAAATTGATGAAGAGATGTATACACACATATACACAGTGTTGATGATAATTAACACTGCTAAATTACAATATACTCAATCTATAAAATATTGAGAAAAGTAAGGAACCTACCTTGTGTCGCAGATCGTTGCCATTGAGTAAACGCACGTTTGTGAATTTCATCATTTGGAATTCCCGTAGCTTTTTCTACTAATGCAAAAAAATTTTACATAGAAAGATACGTATTATTTCTATTTAATATTGAATATAAGAAATTGACAATAGATCAAAAGTATTTTCTTCAATCATATCTTGAGTAGTGGCTAGTAGTAGAACTTATAAAACTCGTTACGCACTACATGAGGATCTTCAGCTGGATGTCACAGAAGCATATCAGTGTCTACGTTCATATCAAAACTCGGACTAATCACCCCTAGCTTTAAACATATAAATTCACGGACGTCGCGCGGCACTAGTGAATGACCAGATTTTGTTCTGAATATTAACAACAGAAGAACACAAATCTCTATGAGCAATAACAAATTCCATGAATTGTTGGAAACACTTTTGTATGATCTTTAATGTATTTTATTTACTCAACTCATTTATCAGGTACAAATTTATACACCTCGCTTTCAGACATACTTTAGGTGCAAGGACCAGCGATATTATTCAGTCGCCTAAACCAAAGTAGACGAAGTGGATTTCGAACCTGTGACTTAGTGGTTGAAAGTAAAACACATTAACCGTTGAGCCTATGAAAACATTTTAAACAGCTTTAGACTAATGAAATCACAGGTTGTTCGTATAAAAACTAAAATAAAAAGTTGAATCATCAGTTATAAAATACATACATAGAAAATACTTGCCTTCTTCTAGGATGAAAGCTACATTACTTTGAGCCACTTCGTAACCGAGTTCTGCTAATAGTTGGTATGTAACAAATGCTTCATGATAACGACGATTGCGAAAAGCAGAATAAGCAGACATGAACATTTTCGACCAACGACCACGTTCAGCTACATTTTTAAAAAGCTAAATATAAATGTTTAACAGGCGTAAAACAGGACTAATATTTGTCCGAAACTGATCACTGAAAATTATTTCCTAAGTTTATAAGTCAATAAAACTCCTTCCTAATTTGGTAACGGATATTATATATATATATATATATATATATATATATATATATATATATATATATTCAATATTAGAGATATAAACCTGACGTTGCAATCTCAAAGTGAACTCACTGCAAAAATTGGAAATTTTTTTTTAGAGAACACTATTTTATTACGATGAATGCACATATTCAGAATAGCATATTTTCTATAAAGGATTCAGTTAACTACTAACAAGTAGTAAGATGTGACATACTTAGGATTACAGAAAATAAACTAATTATGGGGTTGAAAGAATAGGATAATTGTTATTTATAAGGATAATTCGAAAATGAGATATTAGAATTTCAACATGTGTCTTTTACTACGTAATCACTAAAATTGTAATTAATTTATAGTCATCATTATTAAACAAAGTTTCTGATGTAGAGGCTGAAAATGAAAAATACTGTTGCTTGATATTTATAAAGTCTGAATAGTTGAAGTCAACTGAGTAAGACTTTACTACTACAATTACCTGAACATTCGTGAACACTTTAGGTCTTTATTGCATATAATTTAAATGGTTAAAACTATAGAAAGCATCAAAACTAGTGATAATAAACGATCAAGTGTAAGATTATTGATTAATTCAATATGACAATTGTTCACCATAAAATTTGATTGAATTTTGATAAATTAAGTTATCAACTATTTCAGTATGTTGTTCGTTATTGTATTCCGATCATTTTTACTATGCATTCACTCAGCTTTGATATTTGCTCAGTAGAAAAACCGTCCTAAGTTATGATTATTTGAATATAATAGTCAATAAAAATATTGTATATAGAGAGCTATTTTTCCACAAAATACGTTCTTCCCGATCGCAGACTGGAGTTATCTTTTGCCATCTTGATAGTTGGGGGTTGGGTCAAGAGCATTGGGGACACAGAGTTGAAGAGTCATTGCGGCTACCTTTGGGTCCATCATTAAACTGATATTACGGATTAAGCAGCAAAGAAAAGGTCATAACAGTGTCAACGAAGTTCATCTACAAGGTCCTGTTCAAGTGATATCTAGTCCAAAACATAACAGCTTCCCTTATGATTAGGTTATAGCAACTGTACTGGTTAGTTAATAACTAATGTCAGTTGATTAAGACTGAAATTTAATGTTTCAACAATAGATGAAGTTGACAGAACCTGTGACTTAGCCTCTATGTCCTACAACATCGGACCGACCTGCTGCACACTCTGCACTGTGTCATCGACAGAACAAACCTTTTAAAATATATTGGGGAGGTTTCTTTGGTCCTATTTCTGACATCCCTTTTGTCTCTTGCTTCAAATGTTATGAAGATTTGTTCCAAGTTGAATTTGCTAATCAACATAACGAATGGAAAATACAACTGCTCCTACGTAAATTTAGTATCACAGATTACGAAAAGTACTTAAACTTTATACTCATGTATCGGTTACACGATTTCAATTTTCAAGACACGGTAGACATTCTCTTAGATTTTCGGAGACGTCTTTACTTTTTAATACGCGATATCAATGTATGAAGCTAACAAAACGGGAAACTGATGGCTTTGTCACCTATACAAAAGTTATTAATAAAGAATGTAAACGTTTTAAGTTACAATCGCTTAAGGACGTTAAATACACCTTACATAAAAACAAAATGAAGACTTAGTTCGTATTCAATACTATCTAAGCGAATACCATAATTTAATGATTTTTACCATTTTATCTAGTTTAGAGAAGATTAGAAAAGCTATTACAAATGTACAACAGACTAAATTTGTCAAGAATATTACAGTAAGTGGTAAAGAAGAAAATTAAAATACAAACAACTGAACCCATAGTGCTATACTAATTTGTTAACCTACTCAAGAAATAATATTGAACCAAGGATTATATGTGCAAGAATAAAATGTTTACTTACTTCGGCTGCGGTGCTACAGGATCGTAATACTCCTGTACCTTTGGCATGCATCTCAGCTAGATGATAGAAAGCCATTACATTACCCTGTTGTGACGCCATAGTGAAATACTTCAAAGCTGATTTGTAATCAGTTTTTATCCCATGAGTACCTATATGTTATGATGAGGAAAATTGTTTAATTTTATTTACTTAGTAGCAAAATCTTTTATAGGAAGTTAATTTTTCACAGAGTAACATTTAGACACAAAAAAGATTTTAGATGGACGTTATTCTGAACAATGGCTGATCTCCATTTATCGATCACTTGAATGATGAGATTCTAATATATATTGCTGTGAACAGTTTTAACTTATATCAAAGTGAAAACGTATCACAGAGATATTCAAAAAGTAACAACCTTCTTCATTACGTTGGCACTCAAACACTGTACCAAAAATAACAATAAAATAGGTGATTACTGGAATTTGTAATGTATCAGGTTAAATCAATTAAAAGACAGTTTAATAAAGAACAAATAACGTACAAAAATGACGAAAAATTCGTTGTTCTGTTTATATATCATTAAATTAGATAATATAAGCCTTGATGCCCCAAATGCCCTGGTATGGACGAGAGTGGAGCGGGCCCGCCCTCCCTCTCGAAATGCTCTCAGACGGCCACGCGTATACAGCCTCTGCCAGGGAAGTCCTACTCATCGCCTTCTCGTGGCGGGGGCGCTATTTACAAAAATGAGAAGACGAAAAGCGAATGTCCGGCGCTTTAACCGGATCCCAAACCAATGGTGCACATGGGCTTCAGTATCCTGCGGGAACAAATGGAGTATGAACCAATTTTCGGTCACCGGCTACCATGGGACTGAATCTCCTCACGATGCTCCACTGCCTTGTGGGTCAGACCTTAAGGTCAAAGGCTCAGGGTGTGGCCACCTAAGAAAACCACCTGTTTCAATTCTGGGCACTCGGGCAGTATCACAGCCCACACACAAAAGTGTGGCGCACATATATTGGTGCCCTCTTGTACTAATATTTATGTGTTCAAATAAATAAATAAAAAGCCATGATAATAGTAGCAACCAGTCGTTTAAAAAAGTTTTTACCGAAGATTTTGGGTGTTGATGCTTACCACTTTATAAAAAACGGTTTCAGTTAGCTTTATTACAACGAATATCACAAGATAACTCTACAACCTACAAAACATCCCAATCAAATGTCTGGATCCCACTTACAACCCAGTTTATCAAGGAATGAAGCTCAAACAATCGGAAGATAAATTTTTGAAAATAACCTACCACGATTTCCGTCAAATTTCCTTAGACGACTAAAATTGATGTACACAGAAGTTGACCGTATGCCAAAATTGACATACTGTGTATGTAACTTATTTTTAAAAGCCTCAGTTTAATGTCGTACTTAACTTATACACAGGTTTGATTGGAATCAAGAGATGGACGGATGTATTATGTCCCCGTAAGTAGTTTTGAGAATTAAGCGGTAACTGAAAAAATAGTTAATAATATCCACCTTACAGATGGAGAACAAATCTGAATACTGATATTTCGTGATTCGCTCATCTGAAGCACTTAAAACATTATTCTGGTAAAAATCCGAAAATATAACTAGTCTTTTAAAAAATAAACGTAAAAATCTCCGGTACAACGAGTATTTAAGAAACGAATATGATGGTTGGCAACCTTACCATTACCTAAGAATAGACGACCAAGATGTAATTGAGCTTCAGGCCAACCTTGATCTGCAGCTTTCAGAAATAACTCCATTGCGATAACTGGTTTAACCGGTAAACCGGCTCGACCATATAAGTAGGCCAACGCCAAACCTGTTTGCCCTATTGGATTATTTTCCTCAGCTGATTTACGTAAATATTTTAAGGCTTTCGTCGAATCGGCAGGTACAGCTGTGCTACCAACCATGTACATCTTTAAGAAAAAGTAAAAATAACTCTAAAAATATCTTTTAAAACCAACAAATACATTATTGGGATCAAACATAAATGGACTTGAAGAGTATTTAAAGAACTACGCTAATAGTGAGTAAAGTTACCCAAAGGCTGGCGAAACCTCTAGTGCATAAACATTAAGTTCCTCACAGTGTCTTAGCATTCATCGGTTTATTCCGGAAGATTAAGAGTACAATAACATCCATTTAATCAATCCTAAGGTCAAATCACAGTGTAAATAGCCATTCGATAGGAAACGTTATTTTGAAATATAGGCTTTGGTAACATATACACTTTTTATGTGTCAGTTTTATGAGAGTATTCATTACCGACACTAAGAGTATGAAGTAAAAGTGAAGAGGTGGTCAGTTTGCCATATGGATTCATAGGATGAAGAATAGTGATATTGATTCATTAACACAGTCAAATGATGTTATCAAGACAAATGTCAAGGTATCAGAAGTAGAACAGTATCGGTGATAGTAGAAAAAATCACGCATAGATATCACTCGATAAAAATGAAATAATGGAACAAAAAAAGCGCAAGATATTTTTAAGATTCAATATCTAAAAAAATACAAATAGTTAGTGCATCTGTGCCGTTGTAACTCATCCTGAGCCATATCATTCAGCGTTTTCAACCATTGGTTATGAAAATCTCAGACAGTTCGAACCCACCTACAAGGCTCGAGTGTTAACAACGACAAATTAGAAAAACAATGTTGAGATCGTTTTAAAAACTAATTGCAACAATTTTACATACCTCGCCTAAATAAGCCATGGCTATGGCGCTTCCAGACTCAGCAGCCAGATTAAAGTAATAAAAAGCTTTTTCATGATTCATTTCAACACCATGTCTACCATAATAATACAACTGACCTAATCCAACCATAGCACTAACATTCTTTTTGTAAGCCATAAACTGATAATATTGGAACAGATCCTCACTGATTGTAAGATCACCACCATCTAAACTACCCATTGCATCTATTTCGTCTAAAAGACGAGCACGTCTAACCATAGGTCCAAGAAGAGTTGGACCACCAGATTCAGAGCGTTCGGAAACTTCTTTAAAGACGACTTGAGCCACACGACGATAATGTGTTAGTGCTGCTTCACAATCTTCTTCAACACCAACACCAGTCCAGTAACGATAGCCCTAAACCAAATAAGGAAATGAAAAATAGTAAAATTTCCCGTATTCTGTAAATATTCAGTCAAACAACGATGATCCCGATTTCCTACAACGATATTAGCTTGGACCTACTTCCGAAGTCCTAAAATCAAACACAAGCACAAATTACTGAGGACAGCGAAAGCCAGTGGTTTGTTACAATCATAACTCTGGGTATTCTGAAGCTCCAGATACTCCAATAATTCTTTATTCGTTTTACAGTAAAATTTTCAAGACTGATAGAGAGCCTGTCGTTACAGGCACCGCAAACAAACATTTAAATAGTAGTTAACAAATACCAAAAGCTTAATTAATAGGGTTGTAGTGGCTTCCCCAGGATGGGTGTTAAAAACCTAGAGGTTGAGCTTTGATAAGTGGATAAATTAAGGTTATCCGCATGAATATATTGAAACCCCTATCATTTTTATAAATGAAAATTTGTGAGACTAGATAGTTATCAGCAACTGAAGTCAATTTAAGTATATTACTTACCAAAGCCATATCAGCAAAATTATCTCCTCCAAGAGCCGAAAATGTTAAATATATCAATGCATGTGGAATACTTGCATTTACGTGTAATCCAGACGCATACAAAAATCCCAGGCCAAACTGACCGCGAGGGTTGCCTTCATTAGACAGCTCTTCGAACGCAGAGTATGCGCTTTTAAAAGGATCTGCAGTGTAACCTCCAAGCAATGTCAGCATAGCCACTTGTTCCCTTGCCTTTGTATGACCCTGTCTGGAAGCTTCGTTCAAGAGTTCTAGTGCGCTGTTCGACAGAGAACACAATATGCAATATATATAACGCATGTTTTGTAAAGACGGTAGTGAATCAAATGCATTTGGGATGTCAGTTTGAATTTAAAATACGAACGGATAACGAAACATAATAAACAAGTAATGCAGTACACATACGTTTTATCAGCAGATGTCTTGTGATTTTCTGTCTCCAAAATACTCATAGCTTCGTCATACAAACGCTGAGCAACACTTTGTTCCGAATCTTCATGCTCATCAGGTGGCGAATGAATGCTTTTCATTGTGTTTTCATCTAAAAGAGTTGCAATTTGTACTGCGGCTTACCATTAATCGATGGGATGCTTTGGGAGCCCGGAAAATCGTTCGCAGTTGAATCATGTCCAGACTCATCTGTCGATTCTTGGTCTATCAAATACTAAAATGATGTGAAAGCAATTACTTTCATCCTTCATATTTGAATCAAGTGGATCATCTTGTGATTCTGACTCAACGTTTACATCTTCCTTATCTTTTGAAATTTGAGGGAACACTTTAAATATTATTGAGACAATTTAAATTTATTACATAGATCTGGATTAAGAAGATCACGTAGGAATTTTTCGACAGTTTCCGGATCATCAAATTGCTCTATATGGTTTTTGATTTCCTTTTTGTCTGGAGTTATTGAAACACGAGTATCACCTAAAGTGTGTTGGAAATAGACCTTATTATATTTCTTAAAACGGGAAATACTAGGTTTTTGGAACGTTGTTTGAAATAGTATAACATTGAGAATGTATACGCACGACAAAGAGTATCATAACTCGGTAATTAAAAGTATGTAAAGGGACAGCATATCAAGTAAAATGAATGAGAACAAATCAAATATCTACACAAATAGCCGGTATGTCAGTGGAAAATATCTCATATCGTTGCAACTGGGTTACAAAGCAACAAGATAAAACAATAGGTTACACGATTTCGCACTACTTTCCACTTTATCTGCACTGCTATTTCAAGTTTTAACACATTCCACTACCATTTACATAACACCTGACCTTTTAATTTGGATGGGAAATACAAAGGTCGCTTTTGGAAATGTGTGTTATCTACTCTACCGATTTCAAACCACAATTATGAAAACCTTTGGGATCTTAGTTACAAAACAAATAGGATTCTATAAAATTTGATAATTATTGACCCAGCTTGTGGGTTCGGTAAGTAGCATTTCACAGAATAACTGCACAAAGGGATCAGTTATAGCTAAAACAGAGTCTACAACTGATAAAACTTCATGACTAGACGTAATTCCTAAAAGTGGATGTGATCCTTCTATGTATGCTTCTGCGAATGTCTAGTCGTCTCTTGAACGAGTCAATTGAATGTGCAAACACCACTGCTTCGAGCAAAAGGTTCCAAGAATTGATGAGTCGGTGTGAAAACCTGCATGCCACGGGTATTTTATTCGTTCTAGGCTTTCCTACTCGCTTGCTAAGTTTTCTGAGATGTCTCGATCTAGTGGGAAGAAAAAGAGGATACATTAGGTCCAAAGTTATAAACTACAAAAATCGGTGAACTCCAGTCACTACAGGGATACTGTGCAACACAAATTAGGTCGAGATGCTTTAGTCTCCAAAGCATTAGGTCGGTGCATGCACTTCAAGAATTATACTCTTACTTGGAAGTCAGAATAAGGGAAGCCTTGAAAAAGTGTTAAGTTATACATAAACCATCATTATTTGGAGCGATTAAAGAAAACATTTATTTTAATATATAAAAAGAGCAATTAAGGATGAATGTGTCTGATAAATCCATATGGACGGAAAATTTCAACTGTGCATTCAATGCATACTTACCACTTTTTCTCTTCGACTTCAAGTCTTCCGATAAAACAACAGAAAAGGACACTATAAGAATGACCACAATTCTGATGAATAAGCATGGTGAACCACAAGGATGGTTTGAAAAACCGAAGGAAAACATATCGCGTAATAACCAGAAAACGCGCCACGAATTGAAACGCGTGGGTTTTCTATTCGCTGAATAGCCTAAGGTCATCCAATAAACTGAGATCCAACCACAGGTCGTACTGTTTTTTTTTTAAGTTCCCTACTGTGTTAGTAACGTTCATATCTGTGTCTGAACTTCACTTTCAATGGTGCAAAATATTCAAAGCCCTATAGTTTTTTTAAAGTGAACGAATATTCTTCAGTAGTAGTCCAATAACTTGTTGATGAGCATGTATGGACGTACTGACCTTTCTATGCTCAAATCTCGACTTTCTGTAGCGACTCCACTTGATGTGTTCAAAATTATAACGCTTTAAAATTGATAAGAATGAGACAAATTTCCACTTGTAATGGAGAGTAAAGTCCCGAATAAATAGTTCTGTAAGTCTTCAACGTTGAAAGTAACCATATTGATTTTACTGAACACGCTTCTGTCAAGCATCTGCCCTAAATCGCTTTCCGTTAAGAAACGCTGCTCAAATCGTTAGACTAGATCATATAGTTTTCGGCCAATCAAACAACTTCTACATATATATTCAAACCCCCACATATGTTTCCTGGCTTCACTGTGTGTTACGGAGAGCAGCGTTATCAAAACTGAATACGTGTGACATGTTTACATTTAGTTTCTCTATAATTCGTTTGAAAATTAGGACACTCGTAGATTCCTTATCTGGAAGGGATTTCAGCGGTTGCTACGGTTTTGCATCTTGTTAGAATAACCCTGATTTTACTTCTTTAATGCAAGATGAGTTAGACTTTATATGTTTAGTTAACCATAGCTTATGAAGCGAGCACGAAGTTATGAAAGTAGACTGATGTAATTACCTGACTGAGTATGCTGGTTTTCATGTTGATTTCAAATAATCGATAAAACCGAAAAACCAAACAATTCCAAGGCAGGACGAAATCCGCAAGCGAACAAGAATATATTGATTATAATTATGAAGAGAAAATGATTCTGTAGCGGTAAATAAATTTAAAAAATAAATAGCTCTGTACGTTTTCGACAATGGATGCTGACCACATAAGTTTTAATGGACTCACCTAGCTGAAGGCGCTCGGTCATGCATCCGCAACAGATCACGAGTGAAAACGACGTGCTCAACAACCCCTGCAATCGCTAGCCAGATAAGATCAAACGATCCTCGATATATAGATAGCCTATCAAAATTATTTTCGAACCTCCTGGTTTCTATCCTTTGGTTTCACTTGGTGGGTACGATTCATATTAGTAGGTGTTACTGATTAGAGCATTGTCAAACTCCGAATGCCTGTGGCATCTTCAATTCTTACCAAAATCTATGGAGAGATTTCCAAACTGTACGAGACAAAGTCAAGACTCGTAGAATCATATTTTCATAATTCTTGAACCACATTAACTGGACCGCTATCATTTTGCTTCGGTTAAAATTTACCCTTGTTGCCTAATTTTGTTATAGCTTGATGCCGAACCACTGATGATAAGATTGTGTAGGACTGAATTCGGGGTTCCTTTTTTGCACTAGAGCCGTATAAATTAGACATAAAATGTGTCTTGATGTAATAGTTTGGTGTGAATGACTCAAGTGAGTGTAATACGCTACACAAAAGAACATATCACGGGCTAACCTAGTTTTTATATATTTCTTTTTGGATCATCTGCGTTCAGATAAAATTCCAGGATTTGGGTCGCAACTTTTCGTATTAGGCTTTTTAACTTATTATATTTGGTTGATCTAGGTCATACCCAAGCATGCGTAAGGAATGACTTCAGGTTGACTTTGCATGAGATTCATGATACTTTAGAGCTGGTACATCATAGGAAATTTTGAAGGTGTTGGATTTTATTAGATGAACTTAAAGAATTCGACTGACCACTGAGTGTGAATCTCAACATAGTGGTTTTCATAGATTTTGGACATTTTTATTTTATGGAAACCATGAACCGATCAAAGTCACAATACCACTGAGACCAAAAAGCACAAAGAAATCGCTTTGTCTTAGTGCGATGAGTTTCAGCAGCAGGCTAGAACCTAAGAAATGTCGAGCTTCAAACCGCAACCCGCTTAAGGAAATAAACGATTCTTGCGCAATGTCGAAGATTGATTGGGACCAGGCGTCATTACTGTTGGATCACAGCGCAGCGGTAAAAATATTGAGCGTTTGCACACGAGACTGGTGGTGACGAGTTCTAATCCGTCGTGCGAGATTATGAAGTCCCTCTGCCGCAGAGCTCCATACTAGGACGAAAACCCTATCCAGTGCTCTCAGGTTTCCAGTGGTGGTCATGTAGTAGTGCCGGTTTCCAACAATACGATCCTTGAAGTCAAACATACCATAACAGAGATCAACATTCAATATTTAACACTTGGAGGTCAAAATTGTGAGCGCAGAAAGACCTTATCTATATGGTATTTATATGGCAAAGAGAGCCACATCATCCAGCTCAGAGACCGAAAGCCCACCGCAGTTAAAACGTTTTAACAATCATGATGAGTTATAAATTAACGGTACATTCAACAATAGCCTCGAACTCAGCGGACGGACAATAGAAAAACTCATTTTTACGACGCACAGTAAAAATAAATCTAGATAATTACGGGCTGTTCTCCTTGAACCTGACCAAAGGATGGACAAGTGGAAATGACCAATATCAAAGTTGATAATTTCCTCATCCTCTATATTACTCGTTAGTTCAGGTTGTAATACTTCCCAATTTTCTATCACCACTATAAGACACATTAAGCCCCTAGAAGCATAGTTCTTTTCTATTAATTGAACAATTTTTATGATCAGTAAAACATTTGTTCGATCATCGTACAAAAGCCAGTTCAGGCAACTCCTGTAAAAAATCTCTCCCAGATACTCTCGAAATAACTTGCAAGACAACATACTACTGCATGAACAGCTGGAGGAAATTTTTAAAACGTATGACTGAGGGAATTCAAATAATCATTAAAAATACAACAACAACCTACAGGAAATAGAGTAATCTGTAATGGCATTGGGCTCTAACCACACAATCCTCAAAGCTGAGCACGAGATAACATTTAGGGCAGGGAAAACCAAACAATGGAGAAAGTAAGAAGAATAAATTCAATTAATTCAAATTCATGGAATGGTATGGCTCGGCCTTGTAAGAGGGATCATTCTTGTGTAACTTTTATCCATATTACATGTATTGTTCTATCTTCAGCCTAAATGTTCTCTTCATCATATACTGATGGTTGTGACGATACGATGAGTCGGTGTAAACAACGATGTTACTTCCAGGTATGATCATATATATTAATGTGATGTTTGAGTGATTTAATGATTCCTTTGTATTTGTTAAATGCTTGATTTCGAATTCTAAAATACAGTACGTTCATTCGTTATTGTCTAGTACTTCTTAACTCAATTACGTTATTTCTGGGATTCTTAGTTCGTACTATAATTCAAATACTTCTACTTATTATATTGGCGTTGCTATGGAGCCTGCGATGGAAAAGTTAGATATTCATTCAACTTCTGAAGCTTTTGAGGATTACTTAGAAAGGTTCGAACTCTGGGCCTTGACCAAGGAAGATGCTGGGGATGTTAATATGGTAGCACATTTCCTCACTTTCATTGGAAAAAAAGCGTACAGCTTATTAAGAACTCTGGCTATGCCGGAAAAGCGTATCTCGCTTCCTTGTACAACTTCAAGGAACTGCTGCTAGACTATGTTAAGTATACAAATTTCGAACGCGGTAAAGGAGGGAAATCTCGTAAAATGATTCATGAGGATACAAAAATTTTCACTACATTACGTCATCCCAACCCAGTGCATACCGAAGGATATACAGATAATTCACTGAGGAGTTGCTATGCAGTTCACGAGGATGAGCACAACTTTGGTCGATGTTTGTCCTGTGGCAGGTTCCACTCTTTTAATTCATGTAAACTTCGTAATTCTTAGAGCCTTAAATGAGGTGATATTGGACATATTCAGTCAGTTTGTAATACTACTGTTAATCTTGCTGCAACTAATATTAAGTATTGTAATTCCGATTCTATTAAGTTGGTATTTATAATTATCATTTATCTTTATCAACGATTTCAAAGGACAGTGTAGAATCATATAGCAGTTCAGAGTTAAATGAAACTCAGAATCCCTTCGGTTGTTAATTTTATAACTGATGAGTGTATTTTAGAAAATATAGATTTTTTATCCAATACGATGTCGGGCAGACACAGGATGAACCTAAGAAAAAACGTACAATCAATTACAGACACTTACACTCCAATTTAAGCTGTGACGGATGTGGTGATTGAATGAACTAATGATTCCTTTGTACTTGTTAAATGCTTGGTTTCGAATTCTAAGTATAGTACATTCGTTCGTGCTTGTCTAGTACTTCATGGATTCTTAGTTCGTACTATAGTTCAAATACGCCTAATCATCACAGTTAGGCAGTTACATCATGACAAATGTACATTATTATTATTAGGTCTATTATTAGAGCAGTACTAGTTGTGAGATCCAAACTACGTTTGGACTGCTGGACAGCTGTCTGGATGAGTTCGATACGCGCCCTCGCCCGTTTGAAACCAAAACTAAGTAATTGGGTAAGATAGCGGTTCTGTAATTTATCATAAATTTAAGTGGACATTATTACCTAAACAAATATAACCACTCAGCTATCCAACCAATAATTGTTCAATTGATCAAATCTAAACTACAATAAGTAAGGAATTTGATAAATGATGCAAGAAAAATACCAATCACCACAAATAAATGTTATTCTATACTGTCTGGATAAATCACGTACAGATTCGTTCAAAAGGTAATAATTGGTCGCTTTATAACACAGGGTGTTTTCAATTCTGGAATGGTGCTTCAATTCACAACCAAAATGCACAATTCCAGTCAACACAGGTCAAGCAATCAAAAGCAGGAACAAACCAAAATGGCTGCCGCCCAGACTTAGTATAAAGTAAAACAACATAAGTGCAGTTCGGGAAGAAACACGGGGAATTAGTGAAGGTGTAGCAAAAACGAAAACTATAATAAAATACAAATATTAACAATTCAAATGTATCAGA